ATTTTTTTTCCAAATTTTTGGTATATTCTGATAGCCAGTCTTATAAGCTTTAATTTGATATAGGGGTTCAGATATCTACAGTTTAAACCGGACGCGCTACACCGCTTGCACGCGAGACACCCCTGGAAGCGCACGGTAACCTTAAGCAGTTGTGAAAATAATGCCTAAAAAAAGAAAAATAAATTCAGGCCTGTACAAGATTTGAACCCATGACTTCTGCGATACCGGTGCAGTTCGAAAATTATTGGTATCCTGCCCTTAAGTGATTTTTTCTAAAAAAAGGTTACTATGAGTGACTAGCATCCAACTATTCCTTACAATATCACTTCCGAATCACACAATAAGGTCACCAGAATAAAAGAAATGATCGCCAGCTAGAATAAGCTCTTCAGTTGTTAAACAAATTCTTCTTGTCAGCACCTTCCCATCATCATCTTTATTTGCCTTATTTTAAGAATACATTTATTTCCAGCGATAACAGCAAGAAAGGGAGGAGTCCCAAGAAGCCACCGGACTTATGGTAGAGCCACCTCACTTACAATAATAAATCAAGTAGAGAAAAAGTGCTGCGAATGTGCGGCTAGGCCAATCCAGTGATTATGTAAGCAAAAACTCTTGCATTTTCGTCTTAAAGCTAAGGTTTGACGAACGAGTCACTGAAATAGGGAGAGAGTTCCAAATTTTTAAAAACCTTGGTAGAGAATTGTAAATTGCTTGAGATTTGTGCGGCACAAACGCGTTCGATGATTTCTGGCCTTTCTGGTACCATAGTTTTGAATTTGGCTATTCGTTACAAAAAGATTGAGAAGCAATGGGGGCTATAAGTTATTTTTAAAATCAAATATAAATTTGGCGATTTCATACGAATTAACTTGGAAAATATCTAAAGTCCTAGTTTGGAGAATAAAGGAGCGGAGTGGGCTCGATAGTCTGAGTTGGTGATAGCCCGCGCAGCACACTTTACGAAAGTATAGAAAACAGAATGGAGAATATGCATACTGATGTAAGGGATTAACTGATGCGAAGGATTAACCCGTAATATATTTTAAAAGTATTCCCTATTCTCTCACGCTTTCATAAAGCAAAGAGGATTTCATTTCTTCCTACAAGTTTCTTCGCAAACAACAACTTCGCTTCATAATCGTCTAATATTCCTTATGAGAAATTTTCCAAAGAGTTTGAAAGTTTTGCTTGGTAGACCTTTATGAGTTAGTGTTTACTCACGATTAAGAATCCCTTGGATTAAGTCTCTGGTCAAATTAGAGGGAAAAAAGTTGCTCTTTAAAAATACAGTGGAACAGAAGAGAGACTGTGGATATTATGCTGAATTCAAGTGGAAAACATGTTCCATATGAGATCGTAACAAACATAGAGACACCTGTCATATTATTATTGTTAAGCGACAAGTTGATTGTCAGACCCGATTTATGCTGTCAGTGATAATAGCCCAGCAGCTAATAAAAGACTCGCACAGAAACGCATATGACAATTTTGAGCCATTAAACGTTTACCTTTCTACCAGTTGTAACAAATTGCTTTCGCTAAAGGTTACTTATATCACTTAAAACACACTCAACTGGATTTGTATGACTATTCTCCGAGTCACGTTTTTGCTGGGTTATATACTGAGGCTAATTACTACTGAAAAAATTGTAACTAATGCGCCATTCACATCAGCAAAACCATTTTTAGTAAAATCAGCTTTCACGGAATAAAAATCAGCGATAGCAAACTGAAAAAAATTAATTTCAGATTGGGTTCAAGTAATCACGAACTTTCATTTTCGTAAGTGAGCTGAATTTGAACAAACAAACACCGGTGTAGCTTCTATCAAGAAAAGCAGTTCGAACCGTACCATATTTGACAGAATAGTTTTAAAACGTGTTTTAGCTTTGGCGTGAATAAAAAAGAAAATTAAAAAAGAAAACGGACCAAGAGATAAAAAATTAAAAAAACGTCTAGTATAGTTTAGATAAGTAGTATCAGCGAAGGGAAAACTATAGGATTTTAATGAAGCTTTTAAACTGATACACACTTTTAGAAAACCCAATGATGGACTCACATTTTAAAGCTTTTAGAAAGCAATTGATTAATGTTTAATGAGTAAATATTTAACGTATTAATTCTCAATTAAACTGTCGCCAGTTTTAAAACGTTTTCTGTTTTATTAAAGGCGTAAAAAAGATGCAGTTTTTATTCAATAACGAAACGAAAATCTTTTATTCAAATTATTAAAGGAAAAATAAAAGTCGTAAATTCTCCTCAAGTTTAGAAATCAAAACTGAATTGGAAACATTACAGGATGTTAGCGATAATATTAGGAGTAACAGCCAAAACGATTCAATCCTACATTTGGGACTTAATGTCCAGCTTATCGTGTCTAGCACAACGAAATGAGTTTTAAAATTAAAAAGGTGATCGCCTCCAAACGCTGTTAAATTGCTTCATTAAAAATAAGCTTTTTTTTTTTTTTTTCATCATTACTGTTTTTGCAGAATCCTACCGGTCTAATCCACATCGTGGTAAAAAAAATCAGTGCAACTCTAGTCCTCTGGATATACACTGAAAAAAAAAAAAAAAAAAGAAAGACTTATGATTTATGTTAAGTTTTGAGCGAAAACTATCGATGAATTAGCCATATTACCACTCACAGATATCTCTATATGCCTTTTTTTGGTATGTTCGGCTTCCATTTCCGCTTGGCATAGCTAAAGGAAGAATTCGATAATAGCTCTATCGCACTAAAGGGAGTTTCTTCATTCTTTTGAATATTTCACAGTCATTTGATAACCCTTTGGCAAACAAGCTGACTAAAAATGGATTGAAATGTTATACTTTAGAGGTTTGGCTGAGGATTCAGGATGCAATGTTGGCAACACACATATCTTTTTCCAAAAATATAACTTTGTAAAGGAAAGGTTAATTGATTCCGAGGTCATACTTCTGCTTGCCGCCTAAAGCCTAATTTGATATTTTTTACTTGCGTAAAACTGCTTTTTTCAGCGATTAAAAACACATTAGAAACTAACATTTTAAACATTTCCATAAGAGCTTCGTGTCGACCATTAACCTTGCTAATAATGATAATAACCTTTTCCGTGATGCAGGTATATAAAGCATATTTGCAGATATTTTTTTCCAAAGCACACAAGTTCTATAAAAACTCTGACACGACTTCGATCGGATCATTTCAGCGATGACAAAGTTCTCCTGTTTTTTGGTTCTGTTGTGCGGTTTTGCCGTCTCATTCTTGCTGTTGGCTTGTAATCCAGAAGTGGAAGCTCTAGCGCCCATGCCCCCAGGCTCCATAAACATGGCCAGAAGATCAAGACCAGAGGTAAACTGGCGCATTTTTGTGACCAAATATCGCCTTTTGATTTGTTGAACGACGGTAACCAGGGGTAACCAACGGCAAACCAAAGCTTACCTTTTCACTCTTCACGTAAAATGGCGTGAATCTTGCTGCTTTGGCTTCGCGTGAGCACACGTCATGGTGGATCTGAAGGCGCCCTTGCATGATTTACAAAGAATATTTTCGGTGCCCCTTTTCCGGCAATTTAATTCTACTCTGTGAGAGGAAAAGTTTCACGTGAACGCGGTACTAAACCTTTCTAATATAAGCCAGTTACCGGAAGTCTTTCACAGCTCGTAAGATCTCTTACTGCCGTCTGTTGAGCCTACGAGCAGGCTTTTGAGTTTGGGTTTCACTTTTACGCCTTTTTGGGCCCAGTATCCTTTCCTACCATTGACAGCCGCTCGCGGAAAAAGTTATTGAAACTCCTGCTGTAGCTAGAATAGAAAAGAATGACCAGAGTTGTTCAGTATTGAATTAGTGGCCAATAATACGGCTTCGATGACAAAAAAATTAGCTAGTATTTGTACACCCGCCCACAAACTTTTTATAATCTTAGATTTTGTTCTGTAGAAAACGACCTTCTACGCATACATTTGTTTAATATCAATGTAAACATTTGAGTTGAAATCTATCTCAGCTTTCTTAATGGAGTTTAATATGATGACATGCAAAAAAACGGCTAACTTAAATTTATAGTTTTCATTTTTACAGGTGCCAATAAACCTGCTGTAAACGCCCTCGCCATTAGGAAAAAAAGTTTAAACTCTACGTGAACCCAAAAACATCGGTTTTTTTCATAAACCCCTTCAAGTAATGGTAACAGAAGGCGCTTATTCCATAAATACAACACAACTGAACTCATACTATATACTCTTATTTCCTATTTCCAGTTTCTTCATTCCCGAAGAAGCATCTGTGAGGCAGCTCGTGCTCTGAATTGCCAGAGAGACGACTCATAGTAAGAGCAGCTGAAAACACGAAGGGACTTATGCACTGAAAGAAAAAAAAAAATCGAGCGCCTTGATCTAAATTGTCAATAAAGTGAATGAAAGCTTAATGAGAACCTTACTCTGACGTTTTTATCCTTGGCCGTGCCATCTTTCGGTTTTCACAGCAGGTTTATAAGGGTTCATGAAACAGCACACCCACGTGGGCTTTACGTACTCTAAGCAGTGCACCCACGCTAGCCTATTTATCTTCAACCCTGTTTAAGGTGGCTCGTACCGGTTTTCATCTATTTGATGGTTTGTAACTTTGAAAGAATACAACAGAAAGACTGACCAAGGCCAGTTGAACACTTTTACGGGGTTGAATTACATAATCATTGGTTACCATAAAATAAGTGTCATTTCGTCACTAGCAGTTTCCATGGCAACGCTTTCATAGACTTATTCAAACGCATTTTTTAGCTTGTGGCTGAAATAATTAAAAAACTAACCCGGTGCCCCCCTAATCTTTTTCAGTGATTGCTTTTGGCACTTGAAAAGGAAAATGCACATAGATTTTTAAAAAATTCTACGGAGCGGAATTTCAGAAAACCTACAAAAATGGCAATTTCCACACATCACAAATTTCCTTTCGTAGAATTTTCTATTTTTTTTTCTGATGATTCCTTTGGACGTTATTATCATATTGGAACAATAAAAANTCTAGCAAAGGATATTCGGAGTTTGACTAGCCAATCAGAGCGCGCCTTCAACGCTATCCACTGTTTTAGTATATACTAATAACAGATATTCATTTTTTATCGACGGGGAGGGGAGTCGGAGAGTTTTATGGGCGGGGGATTACATCGCCTTCATGGGAAACGAGGGAGGGATCAATCGTCGCATGTAGAATATCAAAAAATTGAGTTTTTCTTAGAACAATCATTTTTCTATACAGCCCCACCCCTCCATAATGCACTCTGTGATAAGTTTCACTGCCTTTTCTCTCCTCTCTTGTCACCTTCACGAACCTGGAGGCTTCGGTTTTCTGATGGGGTTAATTATTCGAACAAGTTATATTTTTGCCTTGTTCGCGTTTTAGCGCGGAATGTCCCGGTCGACAAAACCCACGCGAGATCATAATGTGATAATTTATGCTTTTTTCTTTTTGTGAACGGATACAACGGGAACGAAAATAAGTATGGGAGCGCTGTCAGGAGACTAATTCTTGCTAACTGCGATATTAGCAAACATCACTTTTGAATTATTTAGCACGCGCCAACCGAGGTTCATAGAGGGATGTGTCGGAAAACGGTATTTGCGGTTAATTGCTTTTTGACAACTTCGATCTTTAACGAAGTTGTTTGCGTAAGTAGTGATCATGAATAAATTAAATTGCAGTACCTTGACAAAAAAGCAAAAGGCAGGTGAAATCGTCTTTAACAGGTGACATGCAGCAGTTTACAGAGGAAGCTAGCTTCATCCAACTTACCAGAGAAGCGCTAGGCGAGAGGAAAGTTATAAAACGCTAGTTTGCTCTCTCTTCGAAAGGGAAAAAAAGCTGGCAAATCGTTGCTGGAAAAAGTCACACTGTTTTAAGGACTCGTCCTTCCACAGTTAGAATGCAAACGAGCTGATCGCTAAATTTGACTAAGTACATTGACGTATATAGATAATTATTGCAGTTTTGTGCATTTAGAAAATATGCAAAACCACTCCTGGTCTCTGTGGCTTCTCTCACGTTTAGATTGATTTATGGGTTCGAGAGAAGAGGGTTAACTTAAATTCAAGACAAGAACTGTTTCGTAAAAGTCCAATCTGCACGATAAAGGGAAGTGTCAGAGACTAAAACAACTACGAGCGGCTGGAAGTGTTGAATCATTATGACTTGCCTAGCGTTAAACTCAATTAATAAGTCAGAAAATTGTTGTAAACGGAAATTTACTGAAGACAA